TTTGGGGCTGTTGACCTCAGTCGGGTCACTTTGGACCATTGACCTCAATCTGGGGATTTGGGGCTGGTGACCATCCACCAGTCGTAGGAGAGTAGGGAAGAAATGCTACATGCACTTGGAGTAATTTCAGTTTCTAGTCTCCCCTAAGCCCCAAAGGCTTCCCAAGGAATGTTAGGCCAGTTGGCCTGTTTCAGCCCCTTTTTCCTGTGAAAAAGATGGCCGAGGAACGAGGAGATCCAGACACACGTCCTATCTTAGCCGCAGAAGCTCTCTGAGGGACCCCGGGCCAATCCCTCCCTCTCGGCCACAGAGGCAGTGCGGGGGGCTGGGAAAGAGCTGGACTAAAGAGGGAGATCCTGGTTCTATTCCCCCCTTTAGCCATAGAAGCTCCTGGGAGACTTTTGGTCAGTGACTCTCTTGGCTTAGACCAATATTTTCTCTTCCTCGTCAATTTTAAGATATGTGGACTTCAACTCCCAGAATTCGGGCAGTTGGCTGAGGGATTGTGGGAGTTGAAGTGGCTGAGGGCTGAGGGATTCTGGGAGTTGAAGTGGCTGAGGGCTGAGGGATTCTGGGAGTTGAAGTCCGCTTTTTTTAATTGAATCAGAATAGAGCTGGAAGGGACCTTGGAGGTCTTCTAGTCCATCCCCCTGCTCAAGCAGGAGACCCTATACCATTTCAGACAAGTGACTATCCAGTCTTTTCTTAAAAAATCTCCAGTGATGAAGCACCTACAACTTCTGGTGGCAAGCTGTTCCACTGGTGAATTGTCCTCACTGTTAGGAAGCTTCTCCTTAATTCCAGGTTGCTTCTCTCCTTGATTTGTTTCCATCCATTGTATCTTGTCTTTTTTTTTTCCTGGTGCTTTGGAGAACAAATTGACCCCCTCCTCTTTGTGGCAACCCCTCAAATACTAGAATACTGCCGTCATGTCCCCGCTAGCCCTTTTTTTTCCTAGACTGGCCAAACCCAAATCCTGCAACAGTTCTTTGTACTTTTCAACAGTTGAATTCAGTGGCGGGATTCACATTTTTTTTACTACCCGTTCTGTGAGCGTGGCTTGGTGGGCATGGCAGGGGAAGAATCCTGTAAATCTCCACTCCCCTCCCCACTCCTGGCGGAAGGTTCCTGCACAATCCCCATTCCCTCCGCACCCCACTAACCTGCTTTCCAGCTCCGTTCTCCTGTGCAGGGCAACCAAAGGAGACCCAGCCAATCAGCTGGGACTCAGTGGGAGGCGGAGAAGAGATGGGGGCGGGGCCAGTCAGAGGCGGGATTGGCCGGTTCTCCGAACTACTCAAAATGTCCGCTACCGGTTCTCCAGAACTGGTCAGAACCTGCTGAATATCCACCTCTGGTTGAATTGCCTTCAACTGACTAAAACTTTGGATCTGTCTTGTGGTGGAACTGTTAAAATGACCGGCCAATAAATGTAAATAGATGCATCATCATCATCATCATCATCATCATCATCATCATCATCATCATAATAATAATATACCGTGTTTCTCATATAATAAGGCCGGGTCTTTTTTTTTTTTTTTGAGCCCCGAAAAAATGGCTGGGCCGTCTTTTCGGGGGTGACTTAATTCTCCCCCGCCCCTCCCCCCCCGCATCTTCGGGCGGGTGGCGACGGCTTGGATGTTGACCTCGGCGTTGGTGGGGCACTTCGTATCGGGGTCAATGCAGGCAGCACTATATCTGGGTGTGCAACAAAAGTACTTCCTAACGGCAAGCCCCCCCACCATTCCCCCCATTTCGCATGTTTTAATATAGGCCTTAATTTGGGGGGAGGGGCTTAATTTCATTTCATGCCTATAAAACATGCTGGGACTTCCTATTGGGGGAGGCCGTATTGTTGGAGAAACAGGGTAATAATAATAA